TCTCTCTCTCTCTCTCTCTCTCTCTCTCTCTCTCTCTCTCCCTCTCTCTCTCTCTCCCTCTCTCTCTCAGAGCAACAAATAAAAGCAATTTTACGTTTGAACAATGTCTACATGTCTGTCTCTTTTAGACATACAAAATATTAATGGCAACTTTATTTTCCCTTCAGAATGGGGGAGGAAGAGGCTGGGAGAAAAACCAGGCTAGCAGCTTTCTCGGAGGACCTAGTGAAAGCAATGTAGATGAAGAATGGGACTAAATTCAAACATTTCCTTGCATAGTCTACAATTTACATTTGCTTTTGTATTATTCTAGTACAACAGGTAGTATGTTTGATTTTCTCCTATAATGATAATGGTTATAGCTCTGAATTTTACTAAATCACATTTTTCAGCTCGTTCTCTTTTCTTCTATTTTCTAAAAATTTGAAAACTATGTTGTTCTGACATAGGTAAAACTTAGTTATGAAAGAAAGTTTTCCAAAGTATACCACAAAGCAATATAGTTTTGTTATTTTATATGTTTATCATTATGTTTTGTACTTTAAACATTGGCTCAATAGGAATAAAAAACTAGTTGATAGTTTACATTCATTGATATTCTTTATTTTATTATTCATAGCATTGTTATGATTGAGCTAGACACATTTGTAAACTAGTAAGTTTATGCATAAAATGTTAACGTGGAGTAGTGTGCTTGGGCAGTTGTCCTTTATGGAATGGATGTCAGCACCTTCTTTACTTGGCCATTTAAAATCACTAGTCATGTTTGCATATTGAGATATATGTCGTATTTTCTTTTTCACAGTACATGTGCATAAAAATGAGGCTAAAGTCTGTTTTGTACCAAGAAAGTTTAAGTTTAGTAATAAAACAAGTATTATCAGAAGTGTATTTTTTTCCAAGGTACATAGTTATATTAGCAAATATTGAAGGTGGAAAACAAAGGAATGGGAATGGAAGATCAATTGGTAACATAGAAATTTATTTTTAGGTTTTGAAATTTCAGTCAATTCTACATGTTTACCTTTTAAATTTCTTTTGACAAAAGATTTGTTTAAATTACATTTCATATACTGAATATTTAATCTTGGTGTTTTGTATTATATAAAAGATACTGCATGACAATATTTTTGCTTTGTGATTCCATGCTTGGAGAGTCATGTGAGGTGGCACTTGCCATTCCTTAAAGTGCTCTATGTTAGTTAATTGTAGTTATGGTTACAAAGCAAAATACATGTACTAGACATCAAAGGTCATATAGCTCTAAAGAAAGGTGTAATAGTGTAAAGGGTTAAGAGGGGGTTAGTTGATCAAATGTGCCACACGTCATAAGTTGTATAGCAGCTTATGAAGGCAGGGACTAACAAGGGTGATCAGATATAAATTATTGACAAAAGAAGTGTTGGATTTTGCAGGCATATGTGTGGGTTAAGGTAGGGATTAGCAATTGGGAAAATGGGTTTAAGCCATCGACGACGGGTGCCCCACGTGCGGGACAACCTGATTTTGGACCCGGCAACGGGTGTCACGCTGGTGTGTCGGTCGGTTTTTGGACCTCTCGCCGGGCGTCTCACTGGCGTGACGTAACCTATGGATCTCAGTAATGTGTTTTTTCTCTACACAACTATGATTTATTGTTGCGCACGTTACGTCATGAGGTCATGTAAAGAATTAACGTCAGTTTGCTTGGAGTTGACGTCATAAATAAAGGAGAAAGAAGGGAAATATCACCAAGAAAAAAATGGAGTTTGAAGTCAAAATACAAGGAGAAAGTAGGGGAATTTTATCAAAAAGAAAGAGCTGAAGTCAAGATGGGAGGAGAAAGTAGGGGATTGTTATCAAAAACATGGAAATGAGCTAGTAAAGCGAAAAATTGTAATATTTTCTTCGGACGAAAGTCGATCAATCCTTGGCCAGAGAGAGAGAGAGAGAGAGAGCCAAAAGTGTGTGTGTATGTGTGTGCGTATGCATTTTGTGATGTCATCATGATGTCATATCAGCCCTGCTCCGTCGCAGTAGCGGCTGTGACGTTATGAAACATGTGGCCTATGTTCCTTTGACCTGATTGGCGAATATTTGTTTCATGTTCCTGCCCATTTCTCGAAGCCCGCGGAATTTTTCCGAATAAATAGAGCTGCTTTCAGCTCATGCATAACTCAAGTATTCGCCATGTCACAATTAGGAAAGCAACGCTCTCCCTTTAACTACTCCTCTTCCGACCTCGATGACCTGCGGCCCATGTCTGAATGGGTAAGTACTTTGTCTTTTTTTCCATTTGTATGCCTTCATGAGACTAATTCTGAGCACTCATGTTGAGTCTGATTCTGGGTTCTCGTGATGGGACTCTGATTCTGGGCACTCATGTTGAGACTCTGATTCTGGGCACTCATTTGGAGACTCTGTCTCTGAGCATTCATGATGGGACTCTGATTCTGGGTACTCATTTGGAGAGACTGATTCTGAGCACTCATGTTGAGACTCTGACTCTGAGCACTCATGTTGAGACTCTGATTCTGGGCACTCATGTTGGGACTCTGATTCTGATCAGTCATGTTGATATTCAAACTTTGAGGAGTTAGAGTGTATTACTTATTTGCATTTCTTTGCCACTCCTACAGGTACGCCGTCGTCTCGCTTCTTTTGATGAAGAAGCGATGCCTCCTCAGCCTTCGACCTCGGCGGTGAGTTTCGTTATTGTCACGTCTTTTTCCCATTTGTATTTGTGCTGAAGAATCTTGAGTTTGAGGAGTTTTAGGAGAATGTACTAGCATTTCTTTTCATACACAGGGGCGCGGTCGCCCCTCGCGTCGTCAGTCGTCGGCAGGACTACCTGAGCGCCCTCCATCCCGCTCATCCACGTCTCGACCTTCGTCCTCGGCGGTGAGTTTCGTTATTGTCACGTCTTTTTCCCATTTGTATTTATGTTGAGGTATTCTGACTTTGGGGAGTTTTAGGAGAATGTATTACTTACTTGCTTTTCTTTTCATATCTCGCAGGGAGGCGTTCGCTCGCGTTCTCCGTCATTATCATCGTCATCGTCGGATGAACTGATGCCTCCTCAGCCTTCGACCTCGACTGTAAGTTTCGTTATTGTCACGTCTTTTTCCCATTTGTATTTGTGCTGAAGAATCTTGAGTTTGAGGAGTTTTAGGAGAATGTACTACTTGCATTTTTCATACACAGGGGCGCGGTCGCCGCTCGCGTCGGTAGTCGTCGGCAGAACTACCTGAGCGCCCTCCATCGCGCTCATCCACGTCTCGACCTTCGTCCTCGGCGGTGAGTTTCGATATTGTCACTTGTCTTTTTCCCATTTGTATTTGTGCTGAAGAATCTTGACTTTGAGGAGTTTTAGGAGAATGTACTAGCATTTCTTTTCATACACAGGGGCGCGTTGTCCGCTCGCGTCGTCAGTCGTCGGCAGGACGCATGCTGTTGTTCTTCGATGACTCCGACGAGCTGGGTGATAAGGAGTTGCGTCCGATAGCGAGGGTTGAAAGGGACCCAGACTTCCATCTATCCAGCTCGGAGGACGATCTAGATTACGTGTCGGTCGTGGACACTACTCTTGATGCTGACGAGCCTTTGGCTCGTTACCTAGAGAGGATAGTGTACCGCAACGCTCCCGGGACACCTAACTTTCGTTGGCGGAAGAAGGACAACTTCCCCAGGAAGGTGGCCTTTTCCGGAGATCCCGGGTTCAAGGTCCCGTTGACTGTCGAGTCCACCCCGCTCGACATTTTTTCGTACCTCATGACCGACGACGTGATTGATCACATTGTTTCGGAGACCAACTTGTAAGTTTTATTACTATTGTGTTCTTTCTATTTGTATTTATGTTGAGGAAATCGGACATTGAGGAATCAGAATGTATTACTTCTTTTTCTTTTCCACTTCCACAGGTACGCGGTCGCCCGCCCTCCTGCTGCCTCACCCCATATGAGGAGGTGGACTCCCACGTCCCGGCAGGAGGTCAAGGCGTACTTTGGTCTCCGTTTGCTTATGGGGATGGTGAGACTCCCCTCTTTCCGTGATTACTGGTCGACCGATCCCGGTTTCCGTCAGACTTTAATGACTGAGGTTATGACGAGAGATCGGTTCGACCAGTTGACGACACACCTCCATTTCGCCCACTTGGAGGAAGGAGCTCCACTCCCGGAGGACAGGATGTGGAAGCTCCGACCAGTCGTGGACGCCCTCAACGAATCGTTCCGGACGATTTTCGTCTCGGGGCAGGACATCACTGTCGACGAGTCGTTGTGGAAGTTCCGTGGGCGGCTAGCTTTTAGGACGTACAATCCAACCAAGCGGGCGAGGTTCGGGTTGAAGGTCTATAAGCTCAGTACCAGTACCGGCCTGGCTGCAGGGTACACCTCTTGTTTCAAAGTGTACACCGGGCAGGACCGTGGCGACATGCCCTCATCCACGAAAGCGGTGTTTCATCTGATGGAGTATGGCGGCTTCCTTGACAAAGGATACCAGTTGTTTGTGGACAGCTGGTACACGTCGCCTACGTTCTTTAATTTGTTACAATCCCGAAAGACCAACGCGGTAGGCACAGCCCGGCTGAACAGGAAGTTCATGCCCAAGGACCTCTCTGTGAGGAGGAAGGGTGATGTCGATTACCGCAGCAGCAGGACGGGGTTGTTGGCCTTGTTGTGGAAGGACAACGCCGTCGTCGCCCTGCTGTCAACGGTCCATAACGCTGCAATGTCGGCATGAAGGGAGTCGACATTGGTGATCAGATGGCGAGCTACTATCCAACGCCTCGCCGGTCCAAGGTCTGGTACAGGAAGATTTTCTTCAACCTCTTTGACATGGCCATCGTCAACGCCTGGACACTCCATCGTGCCCTAGGCGGAAGAGGTTCGTTGAAAACCTTCAAGTCTGTCCTCTCCAGAGAACTCGTGGGGGAGTTCAGAAGAGGGGCGGACTCCAGCAGGAACCGCACTGCAGCGCGTCCACCCGCTGCAGATAAGCGGTTCCTGAGACAGTGGCAACACTGGGTTTCCGAGCTCCCTGGTGGCAAGAGGAGAAGGTGTCGCTGGTGTTCCAGGCAAGGGAGGAGACGAAGCACCCATAGCTACTGTGAAGAATGCAATGTTGCATTATGTACCTATGGGTGCTTCAAGGCCTGGCATGTAGAGTGAAGGAAGCTCGGGAGCCGTAAGTTTCGTTTTTGTCACTTGTCTGTGTGTCGAGGAATTCTGACTTTGAGAATGTATTACTTGCATTTCTTTTCCTCTCCCACAGAGACCGTCGTCGCGCTCGCGGTCGTCGAAGGGATACGGCAGTCGCCTTCATCGGCAGAAGTGCCTGATCGCCCTCCAACGCGCTCATCTATGTCTCAGTCCTCGACCTTGACGGTAAGTTTCTTTACTGTCACGTCTTTTTTACATTTGTATTCGTATTGAGGAATTCTGACCTGGAGAATGTATTACTTGCATTTCTTTTCCTCTCCCACAGAGACGCGGTCGCCGCTCGCGGTCGTCGAAGCCGAAGTTAGTGCATTAGTCCCAACATGAGTACTCAGACTCAGAGTCCCAGCATGAGAATTACTGCGAAAGCATCTGCCAAAGATGTTTTCTTTGATCAAGAACAAAAGTTAGAGGTTCGAAGGCGATCAGATACCGCCCTAGTTCTAAAACTTGCCTGTACATGCCTGTGTCGAGGCGTGGCTTACAGGTCAAATCAATAAAGTTGTTATATAAAAATATCTATGATTTTCCCTTACCATATCTTGGCAAGTGTTACTGAAAGAAACGTACATGGCATTATAGAAAGACTGGACTCTAACAAAAAAAAACGAACATTACATGGTAGTTTTATGAACACTGATTTTCCTTTTCCATATCTTAGCATACACGCACATACACATACGTATAGATATACTCATACCATAGTTTTTCTCACTTTCTATCTGTCTGGCTGTGTCTACCTATCTATCAACTTCTTTCTCTCTATCTATTTTCGCGATCTCTCTCGCTTTCTCTCACTATCTATCTGTCCGGCTTTATCTATCTATCAATACTTATACCATAGTTTCTCTCACTATCTATCTGTCCGTCTGTATCTACCAATCAATTTCTGTCTCTCTATCTATTTTCGCGATCTGTCTGTCTCACACTCTCTCCCTCCCTTTTCCATATCTTGGCATACATGCTTATACACATACGTATAGATATACTCATACCATACATATGTACATAGTTTCTCTCACTATCTATCTGTATGGTTGTATCTACCTATCTATCAATCTCTGTCTCTATCTATTTTCGAGATCTATCTCTGCTTCTCTCTCTCTCGCTTTCTCTCACTATCTACCTGTCCGGCTGTATATACCTATCAATACTCATATCATAGTTTCTCTCACTATGTCTGGTTGTATCTACCTATCTATCAACTTCTGTCTCTCTATCTAGTTTCCCGATCTCTCTCTCTCTCTCTCTCTCTTTCTCTCTCTCTAACTCTCTTTCTCTCTTTCATTTTCTTTCACTTTCTCTCTCACACACACTCTCTCTCTCTCTCTCTCTCTCTCTCTCTCTCCTCTCTCTCTCTCTCTCTCTCTCTCTCTCTCTCTCTCTCTCTCTCTCTCTCTCTCTCTCTCTCCCTCTCCCCTCCCTCTCCCTCTCCCTCTCCCTCTCCCTCTCCCTCTCCTCTCCCTCTTCCCTCTCTCCCTCTCCCTCTCCCTCTCCCTCTCCTCTCCCTCTCCCTCTCTCTCCCTCTCCTCTCCTCTCCCTCTCCCTCTCCCTCTCCCTCTCCCTCTCCCTCTCCCTCTCTCCCTCTCTCCCTCTCCCTCTCTCCCCCCCTCTCCCTCTCTCCCTCTCCCTCTCTCCCTCTCTCCCTCTGTACGTATATGTGCTTTGAGGCCTGGATAAATTGTTTTATAATAAAGTTGCTTTATAAAAAAATATGAATTTCACTTTCCATATCTTCGCAAAGATGTTACTGAAAGAAACAAACATGGTATTATTAGAGAGACTGAAAAAAAGTAAAGAAAGGAACAGGTGTTGAGACTCTATTTTAGCTATAACATCGTTTTCGTTTCTCAGTAGGGTAAATTTCGATAAACTCCCATGGCTATAAAAATGGCGCGAGATCGGAGCTTGCGCTCTGATTTTCTCGCCCGAGGCGGGCGGCATATGAAGCGGGTCCCCGGACTTCCCGCGGGCCAATATTGATACAGCCCGTCGCAGGGGATTATCGCGCTCAAACTGCCCCGTCGTGGATGGGTTAATGTTCTTTATGTTATTCTACTTTTATGGAAATATACATTTATTAAACGCATGTCAGCTGGCAAGTATCATTGTAAATATCATTTTATTTTATTTTCCTATACATATGTATTTAATAAAAGTATGGCTCAGTTAACACGTTGGCACCGTTGTCAATATTATTTCTTTCTCTCTGTTTGTTCGTACACACACACACATACACACACAACACAAATACACACACACACATACATACAAACACAAACACACACGCATACATACAAACACAAGCACACACATGCATACAAACACACACACACATACAATCACAAACACACACACGTACAATCAAAACACACACACATGCAAACACAAACAAACAAACACACACACATACAAGAACAAACACACACAAACACATACACACACACAAACTCACACACAAACACACACACATACACAAACACAAAGACACACACACAGACACACACACAAAGACACACACATTTCGATTAACAATCCCTTGATTCTATGACAAAAATTAACTTGTTCTTTTTAATATTCATCTGTTCGGAAGTGATGCACCAAAGGATGACATATATTCCCGAGTATTTTTCCAAATCCTTTTGCTAGCTGTTGTCATCTTTGAGGAAAGTATGGCTAAAAATATAATCGTGAACGTTGAAAAAATAGATATCATAAAAAAGAAAAAAAAAAAAACTTGATGAAATAAAAAGGATATAAAAAGCACCACTTTTGACGATTAACCTGTATTCAATTTCATTCTTTATATTATATATATATATATATATATATATATATAATATATATATATATTATAATATATATATATATGTATGTATGTGTGTGTGTGTGTGTGTATACATAGATATACAGATATTCACATTCATATACATATATGTGTAAATATAAAACGCTGGCTGTAGATAGAAAAGAAGAAAAAATACATATATTGAAAAGTTTGAACAGAATCAGAAACCAAGAAGAAATAAGTTCTCAATCAAGTAGATTAGAGAACGGACTCAAATTCCAGAACTATTTTTCCAGTTTAATAACCCGAATGTCTGATGAGCTAGGCCATCGACCTTTCAATATATTTTTTTCCTTCTGCCGTAGACGTCAAAAAAGTGTGTGTGTGTACACGTGTGTGTACGGTTGTGTGTGTATGTGCGAGTGCGAGTGTGGGTGTGGGCGTTTGGCTTGGCTGGCGGTCCCCCCAAGCGCCCGCCAGGCTCCCGCTCCTGCCGGACGGAAGGCCCTGTCTCTGGTCGTGTTGCCTGCGGACCTGCGCCGCCAACTATAGGGAGAGGCGGTTGGGTGCGGGGTTCGCGGGTGGCGGAGCGGGGCTGGGAGCGCGGGCCGCCGGAGCCGAGCGCCGCCCTTGGCCTGCTGTGTGGCGGCGGCCGCGCGTCTCCCACTCGGTCCTTTCCCCCGTGCCGCCGCCTGGCCTGAGCGAGCGAGCGGGGTTGGCGGGCGGGCGGGCGGTCCCCCCCAAGCGCCCGCCAGGCTCCCGCTCCTGCCGGACGGATGGACGGCCCTGTCTCTGGTCGTGTTGCCTGCGGGCCTGCGCCGCCAACTATAGGGAGAGGCGGTTGGGTGCGGGGTTCGCGGGTGCGGAGCGGGGCTGGGAGCGCGGGCCGCCGGAGCCGAGCGCCGCCCTTGGCCTGCTGTGTGGCGGCGGCCGCGCGTCTCCCACTCGGTCCTTTCCCCCGTGCCGCCGCCTGGCCTGAGCGAGCGAGCGGGCGGGCGGCCTGCCCAGCGAGGCCGTTCAGCCACGTCTTCCTTGGCTGGCCAGGGGACGGCTTGGGCTTTTCCCTGCCCCTTCGGCCCCCCCGCGCCCTCTCGAGCCGAGGGCGGCGGGCCCTGGCCTGGCCTGGCCTGCCTGCCTCGTCTTCCTTAGAACAGGGGTTGGCTCGGGCTTCCCCCCATCGGCCCCTGGCGCCCTCTCGGGCCGAGGGCGGCGGCGTGGGATTCGGGCGTGGCCCTGCCGCACCCCCGACGGGGCGTTGCCCCGGCCGGCCGGACGGGCGAGGGCGGGCCCTGGGCGCGGTCGTGTGTGGCTGAGGGCCTGCGCCGACAACGACAGGGGGACTGCCTCGGCTGCGGGCGGGCGGGCGGCGAGCCCCGCGTCGAGTTCGCCGTCGGGGCCGGGCGGGGGCCTTGCACGGGCGGTGCGGGGTCCCCCTGCTGGTTGGGCCTCGCCCTCCGGGCGGGCGGCTTGGGCTCTCCTGCCCCCTGCGCCCTCTCGGGCCGAGGGCGGAGGCGGCGGCGGCGGGCGCGGGCGTGCCCCCCGCCGCCGTGAGGAAGCCCCTGCCTCTCCGGCTCCCGTCCCCGAAAGCGGGGCAGGCTTTGGGAGGGGGGCCTGGCTGCCGGGGCCGTCGGAGGGGCTGCCTTCCCTGGCCCCCGGGGCCGAGCGGCCCCTGCCCGCGGTCGTGTGGGCTGAGGGCCCGCGCCGACAACTATAGGGGGGACCACCTTCGGCAGCTGCGGGCGGGCGGCGAGCTCGCCGTCGGGGCCGGTCGGGGGCCTAGCGCGGGCGGTGCGGGGGCATCCTGCTGGTTGGGCCTCACCCCCCGGGCGGGCGGCTTGGGCTCTCCTGCCCCCTGCGCCCTCTCGGGCCGGGGGCGGAGGCGGCAGCGGCGGGCGCAGGCGTGCCCCCCGCCGCCGTGAGAAGCCCCTGCCTCTCCGGCTCCCGTCCCCGAAAGCGGGGCAGGCTTTGGGGGAGGCCTGGCTGCCGGGGCCGTCGGAGGGGCTGCCTTCCCTGGCCCCCGGGCCGAACGGCCCCTGCCCCGCGGTCGTGTGGGCTGAGTCGGCCCGCGCCGACAACTACAGGGTGGTCCACCTTCATTTGGGTGTCGGCGGGCGGCGGCGGCGGCAAGCCGTGGCCGCGACATCCCCGCTGCCCTGGCCCGCCAACGCGCGGCCCTCTCCCCACCCCCTGCCGAGCGTGCTGGGCTGGGCTGGAACGCGGCGAGGCGGGCGCGGGTCCCCCTCGGGTCCGGAGCCGGCCGAGCAGGCCGCCCTCGGGCCGGCCGGCGAGCGTGGCGGGCGGGGCAAGAGGCGGTGCAGCGGGGTTGGCGGCTGGGGGCCCGTTGCTCCCCGCCCTCCACCCACGAGAAAGTGAGGCGTTTACCGGGGCGTGGGTGGTGGGGCGTGCGGAGGGCGTCCTCTCCCTGGGCGTGGCGCAGGAGGGGCCCCTGTTTGCGGTCGTGTTGGCTGAGGGACCGCGCCGACAACCCATGGCCGCATCTCTTCCCTCCCTCACCGTTGCGGCGCTCTCCCTGCTGCTTTCCCTTCTGTCCCTTGCTGCTCTGCTCTTTTCTCCCTGTTCTTACGTCCGGGGGTGTGTGGTGTCTTTTGGGGGTTTGGGCTCCATCCTGTGCTCTTGGTAAGCTCGGGCGTCGGTCCCTTCCCCGAATTTCCCTCCCCCCGAACCTGGCACAGCAAAGGTCGCGGGCTCGCGCCACGATGCCGACCGGGGGCCGCCGGGGTAACCAGTCCCCGTGCCACCCCCGCCAGTGTCGGCTGTGGTCCTGCCCTTCACACAGGCGACCGCCCCTCTCTTGACGTTCGGAATGGTTTCCGAGTGCCGCC